GTTAGCTTTTATACAGTTTTCAGATACTTGTGGGTTAAACTGATACAGTCTTCTGCCTGTTTCTCCAATTTCCATATGTTAAATTTTATATTGTTAAGTTGAAATTTTAGGTATGATTTAGGCCATAGATGAGAAATAAATTGTGTGTCTTCACTTGCAATGGTTTGTTTGGCAGCTGAGTCAGCTTCTTCATTACCTTGGATGCCTACATGAGCTTTAACCCATGGGGTTCTAGGGCAGCGGTGGCGAACCTTTCTGGGGTCGCGTGTTCAAAAATGGAACGGCCGTGCGCCATTCCGTTTAAGATATTAAATTAGAATTATTCATAAGTAACCTCAAAATGCTTAGATCTGAGAACTGGAATCTATTTAACAATGAAAGTATTAAAACTCACCGGCAGTCTGTAATAAATCTGAAGTTGTTCAACTTTGGCGTATTCTTTGCCATGTAATACGATTGGCCCAAACAGTTGAAACATCATAAATTGGACCAATAAATACGTATATCATTTCTATGGCGATAAATGAAAATCTTATATCTAGGCTTAGGCCATGTGCCAGTGATATTATGCGATAAGTAAGTGAAACGTCCAAGAACAGACTAAAACACTTATTTAAATTACATAGTTTCATTTTATTGTGATTATTGATTAAGAATTTAAGATTTTAGTCGCGTGTCGGCTGATCATGCTCTACGCGCCGACTGTGGCACGCGTACCATAGATTCGCCATCACTGTTCTAGGGAATAGACTTGGATTTTCAATTGAATAATTTATTGCTAATTTTATTGTTATTAGTTCAGCTTGAAAGGTGCTATTTTCCTTTGTTAAACGTTCTTTGAGTATACTTTTTTCATTTGAATTTGTTAATATAACGCATACACTTCCAACTCCTGTTTCCATTTTTGAACCCATCCGTATAAATTATTGGATACGTATAGTTTGTAGGAAGTGGTTTTATTGAACAGTAGATTCTTGGGTTTATTGCCGAATGTTTGCTGTATGGATTTATTGATGATTCGTATTTGGAAGGGTCGAGGAATTCTAAGATTTTAACTGGTTTTCTTAATCTGAGAATTGTACCCTTTGCATTTTCTGTCTGTGCTGTGATATATAGTGGCGAGATTCCGGCAAGTATGCAAAGGGCTGCATTTGAAGTAGTTCTAAATGATTTTGTAATTCGAAGAAGGAATGGTCGTTGAATTGCTTGTAGTATCTTTTGTTTCTTTATTGTCATTGGATCAGACCAAATTTCAACTCTATATAAAACTATTTTTTGTATGACTGTTCGGAAGATAATTTTTGGAATATGAGGGTTTACGCTCTAATTTAATCCTTAAATTTTACGAAGGTTATTAGATAATTTTGATGTTCTTGTTCTTATGTACTTAATATGTTCAATCCAATTTAATTTCTTGTCTATAATAAGACAAGGCCGAGGAATTTTAGTTTTCGAACAATTTTGATTCTTTTGCCATCTTTTTTGAAAGCAGGGAATCTTGAGATATTTTGTAATTTCTTGTGAAATATCATTGCTTTTGATTTTCCTTCACTAATTTTGAGTTTGATTTTTGAATATTGTATATTGAATAGGGTAAGTGTTTCATTGACATTTCTATCCAGTTCCCTTCTGTTCTTTCCTGATATAACAAATGATGCATCATCAGCAAAACTATGCTTTTGGTATGAGTTGGCCAAATGTATGATGTTATAGAATTAAAGGCTATATTCCAAAGATCAGTGCTGATGAATGATCCTTGAGGGCAACCTCGTTGCTGAACTTTTTCTATTATTTTGTTATTATGAATGAGTAATCTTTTTCTATCTTGTAAGAAGTCTTGTAGTATTAGGCATATATTTCTTGGACAGTTTGACTTTCTCAGTGCTTGTAAGACTGCTGACCATCATAAAGAGTCGAAAGCTTTCGTAAGGTCAAGACAAATAAGCGCTGAGTGATAATCTGCAGATTTATTAATATTTATTTGATTGAGAGCATTGTCTATTGCGTTTGTTGTACTTTTATTACGAGTAGAGCCAGACTGGTTATCTCTTATGGAGTTATTGATCGTAAAGTCGTGCCGCAAACGCCCTGCTATTGCTCAAGTATTTTTCCTATGGCAGGGAGAAGATTTATTGGTCTGTATGAATTTGCATTATCTGGGTTCTTATCCGGTTTATTGAATAATACAATTTGACTTATTTTGAAGCAGTCTGGGAAAGTATTTAATTTAAGGCAATTATTACATATATCTGAAAACAGATTATTGTCAATAGAGTGTATTAGTTTAATGATTTGGTTAGTAATGCCATCAGGGCCAGGCGCTTTATTTTTTGAAAGATTCTTAATAATGTGGCATATTTCTCTAGGTGTAAAGGGAATATCATCTGGCGTAGTTGGAATAGAATTGTCAGTTCTAATTGAAAGTTGTTCTAAGCTATCTTCGGATGGAGCGTCTTGTCTGAATACCTTGTTTATAATTTCTGTTAAAGCTATTGTTGTTATATCTTGATTATTCAGTGAAGAATGGAGAAATGTAGAGGGTAGTCTGATTTGATGTTTTCTACCGACAACTTGGTGGAGGAAAGGATCAAAGAGGAAAGGACAGAATTATAAAATTGCAAAGCAATCGTATTTTCCCTTGATAATGAGAGGCCTCACACATTTTTAGCAACAACTACGAAATTATTAGAGCTTGGTTGGGAAGTGTTGTCGCATCTACTACACAGCCCCAACTTTGCAAAATCGGAATATCATTCATTTTGAAGTTTGTAAAACTTAATTGGAAAACATTTCAGTAATAAGGATGACCTCAAACCGCACTTGATTGAGTTTTTTACTGATAAAGAACAAAGGTTCTATGAGTGCCGAATCCTAAAGCTTCGAGAAAGATGGCAAAACAGAATGGAAGCTATTTGACCTATTAAAGTTAATTTTATATACAGATAAAGCCGAGTTTTATTTCACACTAAAGCCCATATCACACGGCATTTGCTTCACACGAACAACTGTTTCGGACAATTTTTCTGCCTGGTTTACTATTGAAAGAAAGACGTGCAACTTTTTCCTTCCTTTCGAAAAAAGTTGCAAGTTGTTCGTTTTCAACCAATCAGCTATCAGCGTCGAATGCTGTTAGCTTGTTTGTAATGGAGAACCAGTCTCCCCTGTATTAACCCCAAAGCGATCTGTGGTGATTGGCTGTTGTGACAAAGCAGAAAAATTGTTCCAAACAGTTGTTCTTTCGAAACAAGGTGACGTGTGATAGCAGCCTTACTATTGAAAGAAAGACGTGCAACTTTTTCCTTCCTTTCGAAAAAAGTTGCAAGTTGTTCGTTTTCAACCAATCAGCTATCAGCGTCGAATGCTGTTAGCTTGTTTGTAATGGAGAACCAGTTTCCCCTGTGTTAACCCCAAAGCGATCTGTGGTGATTGGCTGTTGTGACAAAGCAAAAAAATTGTTCCAAACAGTTGTTCTTTCGAAACAAGGTGACGTGTGATAGCAGCCTTACTATTGAAGGAAAGACGTGCAACTTTTTCCTTCCTTTCGAAAAAAGTTGCAAGTTGTTCGTTTTCAACCAATCAGCTATCAGCGTCGAATGCTGTTAGCTTGTTTGTAATGGAGAACCAGTTTCCCCTGTGTTAACCCCAAAGCGATCTGTGGTGATTGGCTGTTGTGACAAAGCAGAAAAACTTTTCCAAACAGTTGTTCTTTCGAAACAAGGTGACGTGTGATAGCAGCCTAAGAAACCTAAATTTCTTTCTTGCCAACGTGATAAATAACCCGACTTTTCTCTATAACCTTACTTTTCTGGCAAAACTTCGATTTTCCATGCATTTTAAGTTACATTATAGAAACGATACTACAGTTTTACATATAATTTCACTAAAAGTTTTTACATATATACGAAATATGTAATAATTTAAATGATCTCTCAAGCGAAATGATTACTTTTATTGCAAAAATTTGTAACTGAGAGCATTGGCCTTTTGACAACAACGAATAAAAATTAACCAAAATTAAAAATTTTGATTTCATTTATTGAATCAAAAAACCGTTTTAGTGCAGTTCCTCGACTTTACTCCCTTCCTTCGTTACAGTAATCATTCTCTGTACTCGCTTTCAATTTCTTCAAGTAATGCAAAAATTTTCGATGTGTCAGACCTCGTTCACGAATAAAGTTTATTGTTTTAGTTACTATTTTCATAACATTATCCATCTGCATTTTGATGAATAATGAAGTGTGTAATGCAAAAATTATAATTCTGGAAGGATAATTATGAATATTAATCCATTCCAGAGGGGTGACTTGGATATTTTCAACCAAGTGCAAGGGGACGTTCAGTTAAACATGTGCCTCCTTCCGGTCAAGGATGTTTGACTCTTCAGTTTCCTTTCTGGATTTAAAAAAAAAAAAAAATGTACAGAAAAAATATGTATTAACATGTATAACTTGCACTTTTGAAACCAGGACAATGCACCTGAGATCGCTAATAGGTGTAACAATGTCTTCAAGGCTTATGCGCTGATCATTTTATGCGTTCTGTTATAGTGAAAAATATTTTCCAGTAATTACAAAGCGCTTAATCATTTCCCAGCAGTCTATGCAGACAGTCTATTTTATTCGCAGGCTGCATTCCAGGTGTATTTTTCATTGATTTAATTGGCAATTCTCATTAGTAATGCTAATTTAACCGTAAAGCATAACAAAGCATGTATTTCTAACCATTTTCCCCCGGAAGAATCTTTCGATATCTTTTGAAGAATGTGCATAAAAATTTCACTGTCAAATTCTTTACCAGTTACAGTTACAGTTACAGCTAAACTACCCAACTTTAATTGTGATCACGCTGTTTTTTGAAAACTCTGGATTGCATTTTATACTCATAAAAATGTCTTCACTAATTCTACAAATTTATAAATTAAGTTTACAAATCATTGCCGCAATTATATTATCGAATGAACGTGTTATTTTGTGTACGCCTTTGAAAGAAGAAAAGACGAGTAAATATACAAATTTTATTAAAAATTCTGAAATTTAGAGTATATTAACCACGTAAAATGTAAAATAAATTATTTTATCACAGTCATTAAACTGGCTGCCCTTGCAGGATATATGCAGTTTCCGTTGGATTAACATTCTATCACTTTGGTAACAGTTCCACTTGTTCCATCGAGTATTACAGTATCTCCTAAAAAGAATGAACAAACAGAAAATAAATTTGACTTAATATACTAATATATGCTCAATAAAGGAAGATATAACACGCAAAGTGTTGGGGAAAATGGCTGCAGTCTTTGTTTTCATAAATGCTGACTTCTGAATTTTCCAAAATATGGTACAGAATGTTATGAAAACTGTTTCATTGTAGTGGCATAAATGAGTTACATTAATGGCAAAATTTAACTTTTATGTGGTTTTCATAAATATTTCACATATTTATATGAAACTTTTGCAGAGAATATTTACACATTTTTAGAGCGATTTCGAGAGCGCTTAGTTAAAATTTAAAATTTTAGAGTATTTTCTGAATTACTTGATCTGATAGACTTTTTTCTGTATCTTGATTTCCATGATGGGAGAGCTTTTCGTAAATTTTCCAGAAGCATTGATTCTACTATTTGCCACTATGGGTTGCGCACAGAAAAAGCTTTTTTTCAAAAAATCGAAGGCGCATTTTCCATAGATAAAACGCCAGTGGACTTCGCAGGAACGCATTGACAATGTATACATGCAATACCTGCATCAATCTTCATTTTTTCAAGCAATGCAATGGTAGTTTTTGAAGTATGACTTGTTGCTTTGTCTTGTTGAAATTTCGGTCTTTGAAAGTCATTCGGGTAAAGAAATGGAACTTATTCTGTAAATATCGACGTAAAACTTTTCTTGATCGTACGTTGAGTTGATATTAGGCAGTTTTCCCCATTTTTCTTATTTTCACACAATGTGTTTCCATTTATCTCCTACTAAATAATTTACATACATAGTTCTACAAATATTTCTACGTTGGGCTACATGACTCGACACACTGGTGAGCATTCCGTTTTTTTACGTTTTATAAGGTGTAAATCTTGGTTTATTATTTTATTTATTGTTACTACAAATATATTTCGTCACCAACGATTTAATTTAGAAACATTACATACCTTTTTCGGGTATTCATTTGGAGTCGTTTTTCCAAGTAGTAGTAATGACTGATGGTTTTCCTCTTTCCGATTAATAATGTTGCTTTATTTGCACTTCAAAAATTTTTATTAGCACATGCATTTTACAATATTTTTGAATCATGGAATAGGAAGCTCCGGAATAATCCGGAAAGCTCAAAAATGCACCCTTCAATCGACAGCTTGTTTGCATGCGACATTTTGAAAGAAGAATAAGTTTAAAACTAGCTGACGATATTCTTATCTCAAATAATAAGCAGTTGCCAGAAAATATTATTCCAAACATTTGCTTTATTTAAAAAAAATTCTTTATTGAAATCGTTCTAAAATGTGTAAACACCTTTTGTGGTAGAAATTAATAGTTTCATGGAGGTAACTATACAGTTAACAAGAATGCTGCTCTATCGAATATGGAACTATTGATCGCCAGAACCTGCACCTTTTGTTTCGTTATGTCTACATAATTCTGCCTAATATACTACTGAAATCACTTAATAGCAACCTGCAAAAAATGATATAAACTTATAACATTACCACATTCTTTTCGAATGTCTTTACGAGTTTTGCAGGCAAATGCATAAATTATTTCGTAATTAATTTAAAGCATAAAACATTTTAATGAATATATTTTCTGCTCTAAGGAGACTATCTAAAATGTTAATTTATAAATTTAGAGATTCCTGTCATCACACTGCTGAGAGTGTTCTAATTAAATTTTCTAATTTATTTTGAGAAATTTTGTGATTAGAATTACATGTCCAAAACAATATTTAAGTATATATTATTCTTTTTTCAGACACTATGTAGGACACAATCGAACTATGTAGACACTTTGTTTTTCAGACACTATGTAGGAACCATATGTAAGAAATAAAAATTTTATATTAGCCATCTCTGAATTGTAGCTGAGATGCATTCAGGCAGAGGATTAAAGAATGCAGGGGTTATTTGCTAGATAGATTACGATATAACTGTAAGAAAGTAACTGCTTGCAGAAATACGGTATTATTTGTTTATTAAAATGAAAAATATTTACAAAAAGTTTTAAATAAAATTTTTTGAGTATGTACAGGATTTTTGAGGAGGATGATTTTTGATAATGTGCTTACGCAATGTCTATCGCAAATATTGATACTATTTGTATTTATTTGGTATGCATTTATTGAAAACTATGTATAAAAGCCTAATTTCTCAACTTTTATGGCTACACAGATCATACGTCTACAGTTAAACATGATCTCCAGCTTTCGTTACTCAGCCATTTTTGCAACATTCATCATTTGCTACTGAAGGATTTTACGTATTGTTTCCTGACTTTAAACTCATAAACAGGATGCTGTTTACTTAAGTAGACATTTTTTTTTTCATATGATCTCGTAAAGAATTAGTCCCTGGGAATCAAATCAGGTCAACGGCATAGCCAAACTATTGATGCAGCTCTTACCAATTACTATTCTGAAAAAAAAAAAAAAGTCATTAAAAACCGTTCCGTGCCTGAAACATATTAATGCCTAAAAATTGTTCAAATACAGTTTTAATATAGAGTACAAATATATTTATATGATGTAATTTTTCTAAATACTTTTAAATTTACACCAGGATTTTATAAGTATCCTTTCATATTTGTATGACCTTTACGTTTAATTCAAATGTTTAGCTCATGTTTCATAATGTTCTTTGTTAAATATTGTATTTTGGTATCATATTTCTTCTGTCTTGTGTAAGAATTTTATAAATAATTGGTTATACTGTGAGAAATCTAAAAAAACGTAAAAACTCTGTGAGAAATCTAAAAAAACGTATAAAATTTTTAAACTTTATAACAATAAAATATGAGAGAAAAACTTTCATATAGTATAATAAGTACTTTTAATATAAAGAGTTCTTACGAGCGTGTGGGAGGTTATTTAAAAGATATAAATAAAATTATAACCATTTAAGAACAGTACTTAGTTTCTTGTCCCTTACATTAGAAGCAGGGATAATTACTTGTATGCGCAGTACAAAATTGAGCATTCACATAATGGTTTAGCCATTATTATTGTCATAAACTTAAGCCGTAATAGCCATTAAGTCCGTTCACACCGGTGGAACAGGTTTTAAGCCATAGCCAGTTAGAGAAGGTAAACTTCGGCATGCTTAAATGCTAAGCCCTCATGTGAAGGGTCGTTTCAGTCAGTCATATCAGTCATTTTTTCAGTCGTCAGTGTCAAATCAAATCTACAGTAGCTGACCCAGTACCGTAGGCGGTCAGCGCAGTATTTTTTGATTTTTTAAGAACGTTTTACTAACGCTCTGTTTTAGGTACTCTCGGGTACAGAAAAATGTCCTTCTTTAGGACACCGGATGTTTATACGAATGAAGAAGACAATCGAGCCTCGGACCAGAATTCAGATTGTTCATTTCGTGCTTCGGTAACCAAACCAAAGAAAAAATGGAATAAAGAAGACTTCGTCTTAAACCCCAAGAATAAAGTCAAGTAGATGCCTCCCCTTACTCCAACGAATACTGGAAATGCAAGTGAGGAAGACAAACTGAGAGACATTGCCGCAGAAATCATGGAAAAACTCATCACATCCCCGCAGTTTAAAAACACAACACAGAAAGAAATGGAACAAATAAAAGAAGTAACTGAAAAAATCGATGCAGCAGTTACAGCCAAAGAAGTAGATGAAAAATTACCCACGCCAAAAGAAACATGGATTTCTCCGAAGAAAACCGCAAAACCACCGACAGCCCAAGAATGGAAATAACCCCAAAAGAATCGATTCGAAACTCTGAAACTACAGAAGCCGATGATGAAAAGGAAATTAATACAGACAAGAAGCCTCCTCCTATCGTATTCAAGCAAGAAAATGTAGAATGGCTTGAACTCGTACAGGAAATCAGAAAAGTATGAAATTGAAGCACAAGTTAAAACGAAATTGATATTCGTTAACGTAAAATCAATTGAAGATTATAAATCAGTTCTCGAACTCACTAAAGCGAAAAGCATACCCCACCCTACGTACCTTATGAGTCACGAAAAGCCGATTAAAGTAATCCTGAAGAACCTTCCAGATAGAACTCCAGAAGAAGCGATTTATAATGATCTAGCGAGACGGAAGTTCCCCATTCAAAAAGTAAAACAGTTCTGCAGAAGTGCTAAAAATAATTCAGAAAAACTCTCAGTCTGGCTCCTTGAGTTGCAGAGAAATAAAAACGAATACGCCCTTTACAACTTGAACAACATGTTCAGTGTTAACATCGTTATCGAAAATTACAAGCCCAGGAAACGCCCGATTCAGTGTTTCAGATGCCAGGAGTGGGGACACTCCCAGCACCTGTACACAAACCAAAAAAGATGTTGCAAATGTGGTTTACCTCATCGAAGCAATCTGTGCCAGATGAATAAAGAAGAAAAACCTACATGCTACTTCTGTAAAGAAAATCATGTAACTAGTTACAGAGGTTGTTCGTAATATAAAAAGAAATTCGAACAGAAACCCGCCCAGAAAAAGACTACAGAATTCAAGAAAACACCTGATGACTTCCCGCAGCTCACAAATGAAGAAACTCATGATGCAAAGAAAGCCCACAAGCCACTTTATAGTGAGAAAGTTAAGAAGATCAGAAATGCCCAAAGAAATTGATGAAGCCATATCTTGGCTACAGGATCCCAAAATCAGAAACTTCCTCAACAATATCGTTGAACATCTAGACAGAATCCGCAAAGCTAAAACCCCTTCAGAAAAATTCTCCGCAGGATTTCGTGCAGCAACTTATCTCATGAAATTTGCTGAAGAAAATTAATCCATTCCTACGATGAACTTCAGAAATATTCATCTTTTCGAAGCTGAAAGTCACTGAAACTCAAGCAGCATCGAGGAACAACTTCCGAGAGGGTGACCACCCATGTGACCGGCCTGAACAAATCAGCGAAACTTGCTCTCCTCTGCCAACGCAGCCTCCTGATTCGCCAGCTCTTGATCTTGGCTCTCCACCTCCGGACTCCAAACATCTTCTTGCTTCCATCACCACCACCAGATGGCGACACATCAGCTAACTACTGCTTTTCTTCTCTTTTACAGCTTCTCTTTGATGACTTCCTGCCTGCGGGACCCACTTAATTTCCCCTCAACGCCAGGATCCTTCGGGACTTCTTTCATGTTACTGGAAGTACTGCCTCAGTGCAGTAGAAACCCAGTATAATCCACATAAGTATCAAAGTATCAAGGGTCGTTTATTTAGATCATCCTGAATGTTTCACATTATGAATGGGTAATAAATATCCGTATGCAATTTGGCCTAAATCACTTCGCACAAAGTTAGCGAGAATGAAGTTTATGTTACTTCACTCCATTTTAAGGTCCATTTACTGAAAATATTTTTGGAAATTAAATATTTAAAATAGGCGTAAATTTTTTAAATATCTGATCGTAACCCGCTTTAAAATACAGTGCAACCTCATTTGTGCGAAATCTGAAGTATCTGAATCATTGATTTCGTATTAAACATGATTATTTAAATTTAGCTATTTATTCTAACAAGCAATGTTATTTATTTTAATAGAAAATAATTTTAAATGTGGTTTATTTTATTCGGATGTCAGTTTTTTTACGATACCAATATAAGGTATTTCTTCCACTTCCCTAGCGTCCTTTGTGGTGTAACGGTAGCACGCTGGGCTGGTATTCCAGAGGTCAGTGGTTTGATTCCCGGCGAAGGCAGTTGCATATTTTTTCACCTTTTCTGCTTCCAATTAACCTAAGGTCTCTACAGTGGCGCGAACTAAAAGGGTTGTGGATGATGATTCTCCAAACCCAGGATTTGGCGACTAGGTCATCTAAAACTCTAGTCTCCCTTTAAAAAGGGGAGTATATAAGGTGTTTCTCCCACTTTCCTAGCGTGCCTTCGTGGTGTAACGGTAGCACGCTGGGCCGGTATTCCAGAAGTCCGTGGTTCGATTCCCGGTGAAGGCGGTTGCTCATTTTTCATCTCTCTGGCTTCCAAAAATATCCTAACGTCTCTACACCAATATAAGCTAAAAAAGGTGTAATATCCATATTAGCAAATTTTCCCACAACAGAATCATTAACTAATGCGATTGTTGTCCTTACTGTATGCAATTGTAATGTGATTGTTGTTTAAATTTTCGACTGCATTCTTTTCATAACTCAGTTGGAAAGTGGTTTTTCTAAGGAATTCATGAAGACTAAAGCAAAGTAAGTTTGGAATAAAAGACACAGAAGCAGAGTAAAGAATGGATGATCATAGAAATAGTGAGTACGACACATTTTGTACATATCTAAGAACTAACGAGTACTAAGAACAATGAGAAAATTTTGAAGAATTTCCCTCGCTACATTTGCGTCTCATTTCCTGACTTTTCACCGGAATCATCTTAGATATCTGTTCAATAAATTTTAACTGTGAATAACCAGTCTTTCAGATAACTGACGTAGCACTTCAGCACAAATATTCCTAATATTTGTTGTCAACATATATATATTAAATACTTAACTATCACTTTGTTACTACTGGACTATTTTTCGACGGAATAGGTAATAAAACTTAATTATTTACAATAGAAAGCTGCCTAGTTCATATTTACTGTAGCGTTACTTAAAAAAATACTGTCCACTGTATTTTTGAGTTTTACAGTCATTAGGTTTGTGAAAAATATGCAATGCCATTGTCGGAATTCGAACTCCGGATCTCCAAATTGCCAGCCAGACGTGCTATTCAGTTATAACGTGAAGACACTCGGAAAAGAAGGAAAAAATCCTCATATACTCCCGCTTTTAAAGATTAACTGGGGATGAGGGGAGCAATCACCCGCCCGCCACCTTTTAATTTGGACGCCACTTACAGAGGCTTTTGGAATTTTTCGATGTCAAGAAACTGAAGAAATCCACAGTGACTTTGCCTGGATTCGAATTCCGGGCTTTCCGATTACCAGACAGACGTGCTATGGAGAGCAGGGAGACGAAGACGAACCAGACAGACGAAGAACCAAACAGACGAAGGCATATGGAGAGCAGGGAGAAAATATCTTATAAAGTTCATAAGAAATTTTTAATTTTTACTTTTGTTTACTACTGTACAAACCTGATTTGAAAGCAGTTGTGGCTTTCTGTACTCCTACAACACATGGAAGACCATATTCTCTTGCTACAACAGCACCTAGTGAATGTTAAGAAGAGAAAGGTAGAATTATTTATTATATTATAAGTTAGGAACAAAATAATATATGAACATAATTGTTTATTTTATTTATACTCTTTCATTATGAAAACTTATTATGTTGTTATTCGGTAAAAGTATTTTCTCTGTTTACCGTGTGATATAAGACCTCCTAGAACAGTCACAACTCCCGAAAGAAGAGGAAAATATGGGCTCCAACCAATGTCAGTTGCATTTGTGATAAGTATATCACCATTCTGAAAAATATAAACACATTTATATGCATTTCATCTCAAGTATGTTGTTGTTAAGATATAGTAAATACTTAAATTTTGAGTATAGTAATAAAAATGAAATGCGTTATACAAATTATCTATAGCGTTTTCCTATTAATATCAAAATCATATATTTAAACACAAAAATAGAAGGTGCTACTTTGGTAGACGGTTGCACGGATTTTGGTGATTTACATTGGCGCAATTGTTGGCACGGATTTTACAATCGTCAACCATCTTGAAAAGCGCTGTTTTTACGCATAGTATTCCAAACTTTAAAAATAAATAAATAAATATAGTTAAAAGTAATGGATTAATTTTTTGTTGAAAATGTCGTTTTTTAAGATGGCAGGTAAGTGTAAATAAATACATTTACTATGAGTATAACATACTAAAGTAAGGTTATTAATATTTTCATATAGCAAAGAAGAGAATAAAAACACCGCTATAAAAACATTGTGCCAACGTTTAATTAGATTAAAATATTACTTAAATTGAATATCGAATAAAAAACATTATACCAACATTTAAATGAATTAAAATACAGTCGATTCCGCTTAATTGGGACACTGCTTAATCTGGACAGCCGCTTATTTGGGACTAATCTCAAAGAACAGATACCAAACTAAGAAGCCAATAGAAAATTTATATGTTTAATTGGGAAAACATTCCGCTTAATTGGGACAGTAAATTTAAGATCACAGTACATATTACGAGCTTGTTACGGAGCGTTGTCTTACAGCTTATTGTGCATGCGTTGCCTTACAGCTGATTGTGTATGCGTTGCATCACAGGCGAGCGCAAGGGCGTTCTTATTCAGTTACCATTACACCTCGTACGTGGGCTAATAGTAGGTTGGTGCTTTGGCCCCGGCTACGAGCACCGTAAAAACGCCTAGCGAACCTAACAGTACGACCACGTGTCTGTTGTTTCTACGACCTCTGCTCTTTACCTATTGAACAATGATTGAAAAAGCTCTTTGACTTTCTCGGAGTGCTAATCACGGAGTACGAAGTGAGACCTGATGACAAGTCACTCACTGATAAGGAGAGTATAGAACTACGAGTACTTCGCGGTTTCAGAGCCACACTCCACAAAATGACTCTCCAAGGATCTGAAAACACTGACGTTAAGGAAAATATACCTTCTAGGAACCAAGAACCAACCGGAACCTGGACAATCTATGACAAACTTGGCTGCGGAATCTATGATAGTGGATGAGACGCGGACAAGCAGTAAACGCCCGCTCAGTCCCACCATTGAATTCAATATTCCAGTCGCTAACAGATTTTCCTTTGCTGAAGAAGGAACTGCACTGGACATGGACAGTTCGAATGATGGAATTTACACAGAAATTAAGAAATCTGTCCGGAAAACTAGGCGAACGCACGGGAAACGCCGTTCCCCGGCTATAAACCCAAAAGGTAAAGAACAATCTGTGAATCCTGTTCCTCAGGAAGAGAAACTTCTGAACCCTGCCGCTCAGAAAGAAGAACCACGCGATTCGTCTGCCGTGATCGACACTACCTTTCATCAACCAATCAGTGTGGATGGCCCTAACACTCGAACACACGAGGTTGCTACCAGTAGTCATGATAATGTGACGCCATCTATTGGGGCTACTGAAAAGTCAGCTCACGCGAGTATGTCTTTGGCAGAAAGCGTAGCTCGGCCAATCAAGATCTTGGATGAGGTCACGTGCCCGGTTGGGCCAATGGATAGTGATGCTCGTGAAACTCAGACTGGAGCAACCCGAACTGAGGGTCAGTTCTCTTTCCCGCACAGGGCGGCGAAAATGCCGCCGATTTGTTTTCGAGAATGCAAGTACAACTGGAAATCTTTCACTGAACTGCTTGAAAAGGAACAACTGACCGATTTCACCGCGAAAAAGAAAGGTGAAGGCAACTATGAAATACACACAAAAAATTCGGATACCTTCCGAAGCATGACTGCCCTTTTCGACAAAAAAGAATTTTCTTATCACTCGTTCCTTCTCCCTGAGGAGAGAAGAAACCTCAAAGTTGTGATAAGAAATTTTCCCATTGATGCGAAACCCACGGACATTCAGGAGAAAACTCCGTGAAAAAGATTTCACTGCGCTCAAAGTGGAACAACTGATGAAGGGCAGAGGAAAAGATAGGGCTAAAATGCCCCTATTTCTGGTCACTCTTTCTAAGAACCCCTAAAACAATGAGATATATCATCTGAAATATCTAATGTACTTGCACATTAAAGTCGAAAGATATCGTGGTCGGCGTGGGCCGACACAATGCTTTCGATGTCAAAGGTACCATCACGCGCAGGCGGCGTGTCACCACCCGCCTCGCTGCTGTAAGTGTGCAGGCCCTCATGAAAGCCGGGATTGCCCGGAACCTAGCCGAAATGTTGTAACTGTCTCGGGAAGCATACCAGCAACTGGAGGGGTTGTGAGGCCTTCCCAAAGCAGAAACCCAATGCCCCCAAGTTTGATGAAAGGGTCATTGTCAATAAATCCTACGCCCAGGCTGTTCAATCTGATATTTTCGCTGGGAAAATTCAGAAAGCTGTAGCGGACGCTCAGCAGGTCATGAAGAACCTTGCTGATCTTATAGCGCTTCTACACAATACAACTGCCATGGCAGAAAAGCAAAACTACAGTGAGGCCCCGAATACTAAGATAAATTATGGATCGTAGGTCCTTAGTAAAAATGACCCCAGTGACGATCATGACATGGAATGCGCAGAACATTATCACCAAAATTAGCGAACTGCAGGACTTTCTCACACACTACAACATTGACATTGCACTAATCACTGAGACACACGCTACGCCAGCGCACTCCCTGAGTATTGCTAACTATCGCAGTTATCGATGTGCGATAGGATCAGACATAGAGGCGGAGGTGCCGTAATCTATGTTAAGCGGAGTTTGGATTCCTGCTTCTACGCTTCTGACAATTCTCACGGGTTTGAAGAAGTTAGGGTAGTCGTTCGGATCCCTAATTGGGGAAATATGCTTGTATGCGCCCTTTACAACACTCCAGATCTCAGGCTGCAAGATCAACACTTACAGAATTTGCTAAATAACCCCTTTCCCACCATAATCGGAGGTGATCTTAATGCTAAACATGTTAGCTGGGGGTGCCGCAAAACAAATAAAAACGGTGATATCCTTCAAAACTTCCTGTTCAATTACCCATACTACATTTACCCTCCAGAAGATTTTACTTTCCGGCCTACTCACCCAAGACAGTATCCAGACATACTGGATCTTTTCCTCACATCTGATAACTTACCGATCACTACGGAAGTAATCAATGATCTTTCTTCAGATCACGTGCCAGTTCTGGCACACCTTGGTATTGGCAGGCCTGAAGCCAAGCACCACTTACAAAATTACTGATTGGGAAAAATTCAAATCTGAAATTAACAAATCACCTCCCCAAAACAGAGCAACTTAAAAATACGCATCGACCAGGCTATCACAAGCATCACCCCCTGCATTGATAAGGCATTGCAAAATTCTACTATAGAAATTATTAATAAAAAACATCACTTCAAACTTCCGCAAGAAATTAAATTAATTAGCCAAACACGAAATAGACTCAGCAAGATCTTCGCCTACTCACGTGACCCAGCAATTAAATCGCAAATTAATAAACTTAATCGCAATATTAAAAAGTTAATTGACTCCCACCAGACTAAACTTTGGAATAACAAAATTGAAAAATTAAATGCGGAAGACGGAGAATTCTGGAAGTCCCTCCGTTTAATGAAGTCGACAAAAACAAGCAACAAACCTCTACAGGACGACACTGGATTCAAATACAGCAACGAAGACAAAGCTAAAGCCTTTGCCACCCACTTCGCCAAGCAGTTCACTCCAAATGAGACCCCTTCAGACCGAAATTTCATTAGTCACATTAACATGTTTGTCGATAATTGGATTAACCAGCCCAGTGTCAAAAATCTCCCTGTTTTTACCTCTCCCACAGAAGTTAGCTCTATTATAGCTAAACTTCATAATAGAAAAGCACCTGGGAAGGACAAAATCTCTAATACAATGATTAAACATTTGCCTGGTAATTTCATTAACAAACTCTGTAGCATTTACAACGCCTGCCTGTACCTATGCTATTTCCCAGCTGAGTGGAAACAAGCGGTTTGTCATCTTAATTCCCAAACCGGGAAAAGATAATACAAGAATGGATGGGTTTCGCCCAATCAGCTTGCTTCCTGCACTGGGAAAGATCCTAGAGAGAATTATCTGCAAAAGACTACAGCCAGCCCTAAACGCGCTTCCAAACCAGTAGTTTGGATTCCGTAAAGGATTGTCTACCACAATGCAGCTTGTCAGAATCGTTGAATTTTTAAGCGCAGCTATTCATAAGCACCAGACAACTGCTTTCCTTATGCTGGACGTGGCAAAAGCCTTTGACCGCGTCTGGCATAACGGACTTATCTACAAGCTTGCTTCCCTTGATCTCCCCAGGGAAACGATTTTGATTCTTCACTCCTTTCTAAGTGATCGATCCTTCTATGTCAGGCAGGGCGATGTTTATTCTGAAAACACATTAATTAAAGCTGACGTCCCCCAAGGAAGCATCCTTGGGCCTATTCTCTATCTTATATATGCTAAGGACTTCCCTATGATTGAAAATACAAACTGCATCACCGCCTGCTACGCGGACGACACCGCCATTCTTTCTAGTTCACTTAATCCACGACATGCCATGATCAGAATACAAAACCACACACACAAAAGAGAGGAATGGTGTCTCAAATGGAGGACGTCCATTAATGCCACAAAATATAAATTATTACTGATAGGACGGTATAGAAGAAAAAACACTGATGCAGATCTGACCCTCTTTAATGAAACGGTGCCCAAAGTCAGAGAGGCTACATACTTGGGAGTTCGTTTTAACGGCTCGCTTACATGGGGTCCTCACATTTCCAGGACCATCGGGAAAGCCATAGGAGTCTCTAGGAAGCTCCGAAACTTTCTTGACGCCTCTTCACCACTGGATCTTGTTCGCAAGAAGCACATTTACACATCAATATTAAGACCCATCCTTACATATGCCTCCCCTGCATGGTGCTCTGTTCCCTTTTCCGTATTAAATAAATTGCAGGTTTTCCAAAACAACTACTTACGAAAAATCACAGGAGCACCCTGGTTCTTTCGCAATGAACAGCTACACAGAGACCTTAAACTCCAAAATCTGGCGTTATTCATCAATAAATTAAATAATAATTTTTTCAAGAAAGCCATCACCAACGCGGAGGTAAATTATTCTGACAATTTTAAGTACGAGCTCCTAGAAATTGACATCAATTTAAGGCCCTATGCAACCCACATTTATCGGAATCCCCCATAAATACTCCTAACTTCTGTCAGCCAATTTTTGAAGTTTCAAAGTATGACTTCTTCATTTACACTGGCCTGGGCCACATCTACACAATCTTCCTGCAGTCCCTTATCAAGGTATTCCTGCGAAGCACTGTATGTTATGTCTCCCCTAACTGGGGTTATTTGAGGTGCCTGTAATAGCGGGATATAATTCCTGCTGAAACAGGCATATCAAAAGTATCAAAGTAACCTCGTACGTGACGACTGTTTCGATTGTTGCATATTTATTCACTCACAATACACACCGCGCGTGAACAGTGCATAAACTTATTGTTCAAAAATTTAACCCTTGCCAAAATGCCAAGAAATGATTTGACACTTTCTAGCAAAATTGCTTTGCTAGATAAAATAAAAAGCTAACCACCTAATACAAGTTATCGCCGGTTCGCTGAGATAACTGGAGTACCAAAATCTACCATATCGCGTGTCTTATGACAAGAAAGTCAACTGCGTGAGGAATTGGTTTTACAAGAAGGACAAGCAGGAACATCCAAAAGGAACGCGAGGGGAAGGATCCAGACGTCGAAGAAGCACTAGATCAATGGTTTTCTATTGTTAGTGGCAGGGGCGTAAATATCAACGGCCCGATATTGAAGGCGAAGTCAGAGGAGTTAGCTAAAAAACTGGGCCGCAGTGATTTCAAAGCAACTGACGGGTGGTTATCGCGATGTAAAACAAAACACAACATTAAATTTAAAAAAGAGCACGGTGAAAAGGGCAGTGCCGACAAGGAAAGTTCCGAACAGTGGAAAACTACGAAAATTCCTTTTTTTTTACAGAATTTTTGTGCTGATGATATTTACAATGCTGATGAAACCGGCTTCTATTATCGTGCTACGCAAGACGGTTCCTTATGCTATAAACACATTGCACTAACTGGTTATAAAAAGCGATGGGCCGCATTACTGTGTTATGCTGTACAAATATGTCAGGTACTGACAACGAAAGCTACTGATCATAGGAAAAAGTGCTAGACCTCGATGCTTTAAGGGGTTGTGCATGGAGGGTTTACCAGTGGAGTACCATGCAAACAAAAATGCGTGGATGACTTCTGAAATTTTTCGAAATTGGCTTACCAGTTGAGACCGAAATTTACAACATAAAAGAAGAAAAATTTTGCTGATTGTTGACAATTGTGCGGCACACTCTCATTTAGACAATCTACAAAATATACAGCTGGAATTTCTTCCTCCTAATACCACATCTTTAATGCAACCAATGGACATGGGGTAATAAAACATTTTAAGACTTTGTATTGTGGGAAATTGGTTAATTACATATTAGAATCCATTGATGAAAATTTATTAACAACTTCCACAACAGCCAGAGAGATAAGTTCAAAAATTTCTCTTTTGCAAGCAATACAGTTTTGTCGTTGATAGTTGGCGAGCTATAAAAGCCACTACAATACAGAACTGCTTTACTAATTGTGGCTTTAAACCCCTAGAAATTTCCGAAAATTTAAGCAACATAGAAAATGAGGATATGTTGCAACTTCCTATTTGTATTAACTATGAAGAATTTTCAACAATAGATAACAATTTACCATGCTACGATGATAATGAAAACTGTGAGGATTCAATCGTAGAAGGTATTAAATCAAAACATGGAAAATTAGACGATGATGAACATGAGTCACCTGTGCCTGTGACTAACCAGGAAGCAGAAAAATGTATTGCCACGTTACAGCGTTATTTTATGCAGGAAGGAAATGAAGGGAGCCCTGCATCCGCACTGAATATCTGCGCTGATTTTGTAGAAAAGAAATGCTACAAAAACAAAAAACAGACTACACTTGACTCATTTTTGTAATTTTAATTTAGAATTTCAGATTCATATTAATTTTAGATAAATATTAATACATAATTTCCCCATTTGTAATTTACATTTATTAAAATTATTGAAAAAATATGTATTGTTTAATTTACTACCGGTTATTGGTCTTAGTTTCCAAAACCAAATAAATTTATTTAAAAAACTGTGAAATTCGCTTAATTGGGACAAAATGCCCGGTCCCGATGTGTCCCAATTAAGCGGAATCGACTGTATTACTAAATTCAAATACTTTAAAATACATTATATAGAATATAATTAACATTAAAACATATGTGATAATAATTATCTCAGCAATTTTTGAAAATAGCGTATTAATTTTTTTTAACAAAAATTGAAGTATACAATTATAAAATAAAAGAAAAATATGTACTTACATTTTTTTGAGTCATTTAACCTGTCGTTTATTGATAAGTACCACAAAAAAAATCGGAATCATAATTTAGATATCAATGAAAAAAATTTGAAAAATGTAATATCAAGGGCAGGAATAAAAAAAAATTATAAATAGATAAAGCAATTTAGAGCCAAATTAATGGATCATGAACATTAAAAATAAAAAAATTAAAAAAAAAATCCAATAATAGGTATTGTATTTTAAGATTTCGAAGATCCTTTAACCGCCCCTCCACAAGGACAATTTTTTGATTCCGATGCCAATAATTCTTGGTACCTACCAATAACAACATTCATCTTTGAAACAGACTACTCAGGCGAACGCAGTTCGCGTAAGCGGGCTCCCGCACGGATGCGCTATCCCAGACTTATAAACTTTTGACGATTTTCGAATACATATGCACATAACGCGTGTAGAAAAACATCAGAAAAATCAGTCCATAGTTCTTAAAAGTGGGAGAGTTCCTAGGAAAATGGCGCGGTAATGCACAAATTTTCAGTAACCAATCAAGGAGCTGATTACAGCTCGTTAATGCACAAATATTCTATAACCAATCAGAGAGCTGATTACATCACGTCTAGAATTAAAATTATTTAAATAATCATACATAATAAAATAATTTTTCAAAAAAATGCAAAATTAAATTGTATTTTAATATTTAACAGCCATAAATAATGTTTAAAACATAAGATTAAATTTATAGATGTTAAAACTAATTACTTTTAAAGTAAGGTGACGTCATTGATTACATCATCCACAACATAAAATTTCATAAAATATCATAAACAATAAAATTTTTATTTCAAATAAAAATGCAAAATTAAATTCATTTTTAATATTTAGAAGCCATAAATAATATTTAAAACACGGAATTTATGCATAATAAAACGCAATATTTTTTAAATAAAAGGACAACAAAGTATCGGTTACCATAAATAACTTATCCACCAATGGGTTTACTATAAGTCGTATTACTCGCCAAAAGAAAAATCACCAAAAAATCGCCAAAATCCGTGCAACCGTCTACCAAAGTAGCACCAAATAGAAAAATGTTTCAACTAACCTGTATTGTAGAAGCTTCCTTCAAAGAGAGAACAACTCTAGCTTTTGCTTTCACTCTCCCTTGGCACACTGGTGTTCCTTTAAAATAATAATAATACAAAACTTAATTAGATATTCAAAAATTCTTTAAGTTTAACATATGTATTTTGTTTATTTACTTAATGCATTGATTGCTATATGCAAGATATAAATACCAAATTAATGTTAAGAACTGAGAATTGTGAAACTTTTATAAATTATTTTCAACCGCGTTTCATTTGAAACACGTTAATAGCAGGTATCGCTCTATGTGAGTACATTACTGTGCTAAACAATTAGCAGGCTAAGTTTCTACTAAAAGAGAAATACACCTTGTTTGTATGTAGAAATGTACTAGTTCAATTGATATCATAGTGAAAAAGCTAAAAACGTTGCCATTTATTAATAATGTTGCGTGCGTACGGGTTCGTAATGGATTGAATGCACAAGTCCGATGAAATGTGAATAAAATTTCATCGGAAATTTCATCGATGAAATTTATGGTAAAAGCGCAGAATAGGCTGCATCAACAAAGTTCAGTAGGAGGAGCTGCGTGACGTCCATAAATTGGTGGGACTAAGCTTATGACGTCACAATGGCCCACCAGCGGCCGAGCGGTAAAATCGCTGAACACTGGTAGTTCGGTCCGAGGTTCGAATCCCGCGAACGGGCTGGCTGCATGGGCGTTTTCGTGGTTTTCCCCATGTGTAACGTGTATACGAGCCAGTTTCCCTTAGAAAGTCCTCCACGAAAGGCATCCCTCCCCTTAGGCAGATAGCCCTAGTGTGCTTTGCCGTATTCTCAATACACACACACACACACACACACACTATGACGTCACAATGCAGTCTCCATGGACCTTATAAGAAATAGACTAACGCAAACGGGTTTTCTCCCTCCGGATGTGATCAAGGTGACAGCGTTGCCGGCTGTCACCTTGATCACATCCGGAGGAGTAGAGACGACTTGCAGAAATTTAACATTGGTTGGCTATTGCAGTGTGTATAATTATCAAGAAAAAGCTGTATGTAGCGCCTCATTTCACAAATTAGAATTTCTATATATTTTTATTTTTGAAATTGAGATTGATTTTTAGAACTTTAGCATATTTATCAAGCATAATTAACGTTCCAAATAATTATAATTTATATAATATTCCATGCTTGCAGGGCTGGATATTTTTTTAGCTTTTCCTATGCTGTAAGGAGATTTGTAACTACTTCTGTTAGAAAATAATATTTTAAATCTGAACTAATAGAAAATTTCAAACAAGCAATTTTCTCTTGCAATTTTTATGCTTTTTATGGGTGTAAATAAGTAAAAAGTACTAAACATTTTAAAAACTAGTTTTTGAAAGTTTTGTTTAAAATTCTAAATTGTGCTGCTTTTTTAAAATTATAGATGAGTATTATAGCACAATTTCTATAAAGGAATTTTATTTCAATTATCTTTCATAATACATCATAGTGATAAACACTTTTGACGCCTTAAAATTTTTTATACATTTAATTCTAATATTAAAATTGTATTTAACCGTAATAATTAATTTTGCTTGTATTTTATAGTGACTATTTTTTTAATTTATTTTTAGTTCTGCATAAGTGTTTTTTTTTTTTTTTTTTAAGATTTTTTTTTATTTACTGTTAATTTAATTATTAAACCAAAGCGGCGGGCGATCGCCTAGAAAGGCTGTTAGTTTCGAAGCGGCATTTTGCGCTGTTTTTTTTTTACTATAAGTGTCCGTGTCTCCTTGCAAATTGTTGTTACCAAATATTATCGCCCTGTATTATGTGTAAAGAAATTAAATAATGAAGAATCTGCATGAATACATGTATGTTTCTCGCACTGTGACAAAAACGGCAGTATCTAGAGCCATCAAATTTTGAATAATGTAATCCTCCAACCGAATCTGGATGGCCGAATTTCGAATTTATTTTAATCTATTTCATATTTTGTAAAACTTTAACGAATTTTTGATTAAAAAACTCAACGAGTTCAGAGCGAGCACTGTACGGAAAATAACAGTTTTATCTCCAGTGCGGAAATTCTAAAGATTTGCTGTTTTCAAATGTATTTGGTTTACGGGCGAAGAACATGATATTCAATAAATATAGGTAACACACAAAACTTTAAAAAAAAGGTTCCTTTTGGGCGTAATATAAAATTTGAGTGCTTCTAGATTTTATTTTATCTTTTTTTTCCCTTTCATTACGCTTAGAAAATTTTATGCTCCGAATTTTATGAATTATTAAAATAACTAATCCACTTTAATGTTAATAATTTAATGATCCTATAATCAAATAAATATGATCGTTTTGTAATGTTATTATTGTTTGGAAAATCACTGCCTGAAAATTTTCATTAAATTTTTTTAAAAAATTATCAGATCTTGTTTAATTTTACTTATTTATTTCAAAGCATCACGTACTATCAATCTTATTTAATTTTACTTTATTTTTACGCAAAATTAAGTTCATAAATTTTGTGCTTAGAGTTTTTACCGTTTTACCAAAGTAAAGATGTTTGTACAAGAATTACGCGTGAAAAAAATGCGCGAAATGCAGTAAAAAGTGCTTTAATGAGATATATTAAATCCTATTTGGAAAAAACTGTGGCTTTCATAATCTCATCACTATACAACGTATCACATTTAATAATTAAAAAGAGTTATGTGATACAAACGCCATAGGTTTCAATGTTAAAGTAAACCAGATCGTCCCTACTCTTTCTTGCCAACATGTCGGTGACGCGCGCCCCGCCCACTGGGTTAGTCTATTTCTTATAAGTTCCATGGCAGTCTCGCATTTACACTACGTGTACTTTCTATGTTCTCTTAAAAATAACAATAATAAATTGTTTATTATTGTAAATTAATATCAAATTCTTTACTTTTAATTTACATTTATAACATTTAACCTTAGGCGTTACTGATAATAAGTATAATAAATTGTTTATATTTAAAATTACCATGATACAGTGAGCGAATTCTACCATTATTAAAACGATAAACAACGTCGCAGTCTCTAATACTTGTAGAGCTTCAATATTTTCAAAGATTTTTATTAAATTATTATTATTATTTTTATAATTTTTTTTATTTATAAAAAATAAAATATTTTTTTAAATTTAAATTTATATTGTGGAACGTTTCAATTTTATCATTTTTACAAATTACCTTCTTGCTACGTAACGACATAATTCCTTAGATACCAATAATTAGACAATTTTCATTATTTCTAAAAATTTTAAACTTTACATTAATAAAAAAAGAAGAATATTTTTTATTGCATATGAACATCATTACACAGCTTTCATATCAGTTTCTAAAATTCCTAAATCATGCCATATTCTGTGTAGGCATGCTAGAATTCTACGCATTAATAAATAAAAAATCTAATTTCTCAGAATGAAAGAAATAATATAATAAAATAAATACTACAAACTTGGAACACTAAGCAATGCTTCACATACGCACGCACACACATATTATCAATGAACTCATATTATCAAGTGCAATTACGATACCAAACACTACGTATTAAAATATGAGGTAAACGTTACTTCAAGAGTTAAAGTTAACAATTTTGCTACTGTTGAGTAGATCGTCGGGCTATCGATATATGTCGTAAGTCGGAAAGCGTTATAAACATATCAAAGCCAAAAAATTAAAAATACAATTTAAATGAAAAATGACGTCTTAAATATAATTCACAATTAAAACAACAATACAAATTTAAAATACACTAACGATATGTTAAACATTGCACATAAATAAAGTTACATTACTGCTCGGCATCACACACGACCTCGTTTTCTCTTCTACACAACGATCAGTATTCGCTCGAAAACCATCAAAGAATTCCACAAACTCGGTGTCCATGTGCTCATCCATCTATTTTCACTTAAAGAAAAATCATAGAATTGCTCAAACTCAGCATTGCGCAACACATTGACTTTGACCATGTGCACATCGATCTATTTTTACTTAAAAAAACATCCCAGAATTGCACAACCTCGGCATTGCGCACCACACTGGCTTTGCCCATGTGCACATCGATCTATTTTCACTTCAAAAAACATCCCAGAATTGCACAAACTCGGGATCGCGCACCACATTGGCTTTGCCCATGTGCACATCGATCTATTTTCACTTAAAAAACATCCCAGAATTGCACAAACTCGGCATTGTGCACCACTCAAAATCGTCTATACGTCTCAAAACCGTCTCTCTACTAGTTTCATATTTGTTCCACAAATTGGGCACTTATACGATATTGCAATCAAACTTTTCTCCATACACCACTCAATAGCGCTCTTTTTGCCTCTTTCGCTCCAACTAATTAAAAAATCCAGATTCAGATACCTCGTCCATTCTGCAGTAAGCACCGATTTTAGACACACTCATCAATAATCTAAAACATTCTTTAAGCAAAAGAATTGCTTTTCTGTAATTTTCAGAAGTTACGGTTATAATTTTTAATTCATGCATTCAATATTTTTAATCGTTTTCTAATGATCGTTTGGTATCTTAATAATACATTTGTGAGAGATAATTCGTTGCATTAAATGCTAACACTACCACACAACACACAAAAGTAGATTTATAATTTAAAAAATCTCGCGCAGAACATTATAAACCTACCATTTCAACTCAGTTAAAATATAATTTAAGTTTTCTTTAAATACGAAGCTATAGCATACTTATAACTTGTTTTTAAGAAGAGGCGTAATAAATATTACGTCATAAAAAGGCGTGTCCAAGCATAAGAGAAGTAAACACAGCATCGACTGATGCAGCCTATTCTGCGATTTAGCCAAAATTTATTCTTATCACAACCAATAAAACAAAATGCTGAAATTTCCTCAGAGATATTCGTACAATATCGCAATATCTCACAGTAGTTATATTTTATACTACTAAAATGTTGAATAGAACTCAATTCAAAATACTGAGAAAGATAATCTGATCTCACGGCGAATTCGCTACAATCAATAACAGCACTAAGTAAACAACTACCAAACAACTGAATTGAGATGTTTTTCTTCGGCTGTTATAAGCTTTTTAATCCTGCACGAGAACATTCTGCTATTTTCTCGATTTCTATGGACAGTAAAAGAGTACAATTATGAGATATCTATTTAATAAACTGTTAAATGCGCGTGTTCCTGTATTTTAGTTTTTCCCGCGTAGCTTTCTCTTCAAATAAGTCTCGCGCTGCATTGCACGGGAATATAAAACAATTTTAATTACAAATTCTACAAAAAATAGCTAAATAAATACAAAAACCGTAACAATAATATGCTAATAAAAAGGAAATACTTAAAGTTTTAAAAGAATTTTTATACTTACTAGGGATATTTACGCTTTCTCCATCAGAACTGATTTGTTTTCTTCATTAATCTTACAATATTTTGTATTGTAAATTTGATACAGAAAAGCTACCAATATTTTGCATGAATTCTCATGCAAATCTCATTCCCTTCAAATTTGTTGTTAATTCACTTGTAATATTTTGCAAACAGATATTTGACAAAATATTTTTCGACAATAATAATGTACTATTTAATAACCGTAAGAAAATATTTTATTTTTTAATTCTACATTAAATTTTAGATTTTTTTCCTGGCAAAAATAAATGAATTAAATTGAAAAATGCTGTGTTTTAAAATAAGTTCTATAAAATACTATAGTATATTGTGAAATTTATAAATTCTACGAAAAAGCTAAGCAGTATTACTACTAATGTCTATAATCATTGAAGTTTTTTACATACCTGTTAATGTAAAGGACTCTGAATACTTTGAAAGACTTTCCTGTTCTTGTTCAATCTAAAATTCAAATATAAGAAATTAATAACGCAATCTAAATAATCTAAAATACTGTTTTCATTTATTTTAGAACATTTGATATTTATAAAATTTTTAACTATTTTAAATACGTTACTGATGAAAAAACTGTTACTTACTGGTTTAGGTATGCCTTCAATAATTTCTGGGAACTGTAGGGCATCTAGTTTTGGATGAAGACGTTTTCTTCTGATTGCCCTTTGTAAATAAAAAACATTTTGTCACGTTCAGTAAGCATTCGACAAAATTTTAGGCGTATTTCATGACATTTTGCAATATTTCCAAACTTAATGACAGTCATAGACTATGTACTTTGGAAATATTATGGAGTTTATTAAAAAATAAAAAAACACATTTTGCTCGCAACGAAATATTTTCCTCTAGCAGTATATCAAGCCTTTTTCAGTTGAAATCAGCATTAAACAACGACTGAAGATTTCCGATTATTAAAAAAATATTTTTTAGATATTATTGCATTTTTAATCGGTTTTACACACTCAATCTTCGTCTGATAAATGCTTAATTTATGTTGATTTAAGTTGCATGCCGATTAAAAAATTAGTCTGGAATGAGGAAAATAATGTTCAAACATTTTTTTAATTAAAAAAGTATTCTTGAGCGGGATAGTTATGAAAAGTGACTACAGTCAGTTAACAACTTACTTCACTTAGAAAGAAGGGAAAATGACGACAGAATGCTCTTGGTTCCTACTGCAGGATATAGATCTATATGCTGTATCTCTTTGCATATTTTTATATAAATAATTCACATCCTTTCCTAACATCAGTATTTGAACCGAGTCTGCCCCCTCACCATTGGATGAGCCTTAACCAGAGCCATCTTAACGTTAGTAACACCGTAAGGTATATTTTAATTTTATAATAGTTATTTTAAGTTTATGCTTCTTTCCTATACTTCTTAGCTTCAGGTTACAATTCCCTACCAGAATGAGTTCTTAGAATCGCGTTAAATGCAAGTGAGAAGGAGAATAGCGCTTAAGTCAAGTTCCACTGACTTCAAGAGAGAGAGAGTTAGGATTTCTGAATAGCGCGCGTTTGCCTTTGGGCTAAGTCTTTCTAAGCTGTTACTACGCTCTGCCGTATTAAGTGCTAATTTAGTAACCCAAGTGGAGGCTTTGCTGTACGTCCTGAGAAAGGGGCCGACTGTTAATCTTATTTTGAGCAGATAAAGGGTAAGTAACCCTTCTTGAGTTTACGTTTCTGTTTTTGGACATAAGCGATTATTCGCTTAAGTCCAAGAACTTAAGCCAATAGGTCACTTAATTTGACAGAATACGAGGGAGGAACTCTATCAAGATTATGGCAGAAGCAAAATTAAAGATTAATTTGATTTTTTCCAGCAGCATTGCTTAAGAGTACTTGGGCAATGGATAGATGCAGTCTGCCATCTGAGAGATATATAAATCAGTTATTACTTAGTTTATGACATCAGACATATGCGCATAACTCAGACATATTTACTTACGAAGTGAGTTTCAGATTTATAAGCAAGCTGAGATGTAGTTTACTTACTTTGTAACTAATCCCGGTTTCCTTGAAATTATTAAGTCTCTAATCTCTTCTGATGTAAGAAAAAATATCAGCTGGCTATCTGGAAGCAAACCTTCTTGAACCATCAGTCTCCCTAGTTGATGACAAGACTTCCTCATCCAATCAACTGTTTTAATAACCATTGACTGCAAAGAAATGAAAATATGAATTTTTACATTTATAATTAAAACTGTATAAAATTTTCAATGAAACTGATAAAGAAACTTAAATTATGCATATATATAACGGTGCACTAGTAAATAAATAACGTAATTTCGATGGTTTAATTTGTTAAATGAAATGAAATATATTTTGAATATTTTTATATAATATTACGCAAATAGCAATAAGTTTGAGTGTTGCTTATGTGTAATGGACGCATAAATTTATCTTTCTTTTTTATATTTTTTTAATTTTTTCCGTATGCAAATATCTTCTCATTCATTACATATTTCTTGATTTTCTCAAATACCTTTTTATCGTTTCCGGAAGCTTTATTTTAGATTATCTCCAATTTTTCAGTGAATAATTTCGCAGCAATAAATTCATGAATTTTAGGTTTTTTTGACGAACAGAACACATTCCAACTTAAAAAATTAAAAGTAACTCAATTCTTCTGATGTAGAATTATACGGCATATATTCATTTGAAGGACCATAATGAAAGATATATTTTCGGCATTTGGTTACAATTTTTATAGTTTTATTACAGTTTATGGAAAGATTTATGTAAGCACGGTAAGAGTAATATTTTAAACAGGTTTTTATTTGATTTTTTTTAAAGAATAAAAATAACATTTTTTAAACGCAAAATAAAAATGTTTACTGCGAAATATCTTAGTTTAACTAAATTTTTAAAAAATTCAATGCATTTTCGACTGCATTTCTAAAATAAATTACGATTTTCTATTTCTTTTCCACTGTTCGTCAAAAAGAAGAGTAAAATACTTGCGGTTTTTCAGTTATTCCAAATTATGTTTAATTTAAAGTTCTTATTTTAAGCTACTCATTAAAGGATGGTTGCCGTAAATAAGCATTTTTTTAGTAGCACTTTAAAGCAAAGAACTAATTTTTATAATGCTACTAATTAATGAAATCAGTCCAGCTATAGACGTTTAACCTTATATATTCAGGCTGACAGCAAAAGATGGCTATAGGCTTTATTTGTTTAAGTGCTAACCTTTGTTGCATACTTCCACGCAAAAAGGATTCGACATTATGAGTGTGGAGGTGGATTTTGTGAAGAATTAAATCTAATTTTTTCGTTGAAATCAAATTAAATTAGTAAAATATTTGCTGTATAGTAAAAAAAAAAAAAAAAAAAGTTTTTTACATTAAAAAATTTCGTTAAGATATTTAACAACGCATTTAATGACTCAAATCTTGTCTCCGTTCCTGTAGTTGATTTAGTTCAATACTTTTGATAGCAAATTTGGTTATATTTTTAATCTTTTCCGCATGCAAATTTCTTCTCGTTCATTACATTTTCTTGATTTTCTTTATTTCAGTTTTTAGTAGTTCTGTCTTTTTCAAAAAACAAAATTCACTATTAAGCCGATCCTATTAATTGATCTGTTTCATTTTTATTAACATGTGTACTAGTCATATTGACATTAATTTTGCATTTAAAGGTAAAGAAAGTTTATATCTGAATTAATTAAAACACAAGAGAATCTTAAATAAACGGAATTTTTACTTCCCGCTAAAAATATAAAGAGCTAATTTTTTCTGTCGTCCATCTCAAAATGCTTCTGAGGTACACATAATATTTCATAAAATATTCATAAAATTCCTGACTTAATTTGAAAATTTCTCAACTAGAAGAGTATATTTAGCATCTGGGCTTTATGAAATAAGCCTTCTTAATATAAGCTGTAAAATAATTTCAACGTTTGTTTGGCATTAATTTCGATTAGAAATTCTCTCAACAGAAACAAAAGAGTTATCGCTGTTTCTGGAAAACTTAATTAATATCGAAAAGCTTAATGGAAACCACGAAACACAGATCAGATTATGCGAATTATGAACATGTTGCTACGAAACTCTTGCATCCTTTATTAGCTTTATCTTGGCATATTTTGAATTCTATAATAGTGATATTTTTAAAAATTTATTTTGCATTTATTCTACAACTAGAGCCAGAAAATTCAGGCTGGTTGTTTTTTGAGCTTATTTGATACCACATTACTTTTATCCATATCTATGTTTAAATAATGTCCGCGGGCAATAATGATTTGCCGTCAGACACGACGCAACTCCAACGCAGGCAGAACTCCCGAAACTCATAGATGGAATCAACCACATAGCTTTTGTCACTGCGGTGACAACCTCCTCTGACCCGGCAAAGTATAATTACTTATTTTATATAAAGTTGTTTTATACAACTTATTAGAAAATGAGCACAAGGGTACATATCGGAAGAGTATGAAAATAGAGCAGGCTTTTGCTTTTCTTTTTTTAGCAAGATCGAATAGCACAAAAACATAATTTTCCTTAAGATTGTTATCATAGGAAAGGAATTAATTAGTACATAGGATGACTGATACATTTTTAAATCTTTTATTCAGAATCTGATGATTTTCTTTATTTCAGTTACTCTTTTTCCAGCGCTTAACGAACAATTCAACAACACTGAATAGACCGTTTCATGACATCCCTTTCAACGTTTTTACTATTTCTCTATCTGAAACAAACCTCTTTTCGAGCAGCTGCCTTTTCAGAGTTGTTAAGAATGCCACCAAACCACCTAGAATTAGGTTTCATGGATGGTACTTTAATGCTGTTTCATGGAACTCAGACATTCAATGTCATAGCAGCAACATGGGACGGACTTTATCGTTAGCAAAAGCCTCTGTTGAACAAATCTGGCATTTCTTTTCCATACCTCCCCACAAATGGAATGTCAGGAGCATGAGCATAATATTCATTATTTAATGCCTGCCCATGGACTGGCAATATTGACATCTATAAGCTCAGTGCGTGATCTGCTAAAACGTGCTTTGTCAATCTCTCTCGTTTTACCACCTGAAAGTGCCTCTATCATTAAAATATTAAATCAGGGCTAAATATCTCATCATAATATACATACTGTAATATCTCAAATGTTTCATTACCGCTGTTTCCAAATTTAACACAACAATAAAACAACAATAAAACGTAGTAAACATTTTTCACTCACTATAGAAATACAAAAGGCCATCATTGTCAGTTAAGGTTTAGGCACTTGCATGTATGATTTTAACAAAATTCAGTTGAGATGTAATACCGGAAAAGAAATTCAGAGACAATTTCTAAATTTTACAATTATCTGTTTTATTTCTTTTGTAGATTTTCAGATTGCATGAGAATTATTTTTACAGAATGTCACTTTGCGAGTTTTTTTATACTTTCTGAATTTTGCATCTGGCTCTGATCTGTACCAGCCGTATTGCATGTATGCCATCTTCAACAGATTCCCTAACCGTAGGGAAGTATGACTAGTATCTGCCGAAGATAATGGTTCAACTCACAGCTGCATCTCCAAACACCTGGAGATCATTTGTAGATTTTCTGTCACAAAATTGCCTATTTTGCCTGATGAAATTTGTTTGCACGTTGCTCCAATTCTGATATTGCCTATTCGGGAACTGCATGCGCCATCACATGATACGATGGCCACTGTATTGCTGTATTAAATCATTGTGAATCAACCACTCGCTGCGTCTGAAGTACCATAGAATGGCACTTTTTAACGGTAATAACCCTATCTGCAAAACATCGCTTACTATTACCAAGTAATGGATAATGTTAGAAGTTTTGAACCCTAGTAGTTTATTCAATTAGAGATTATTAAATTAAATATTATTATTCTGGAATAAAGGAGGAATAATTTTTAATATAATTTTTTTATTATGACAAAGAATCAGACATTTTCATGCCATACATTAAATAGAGAGTAAAGAAATAATTATATATATATATATATATGTGTGTGTATTTTTTTAAAGAATATGTAAATACTATTACTAACTTTAGACTTTTCTCTATCGCCAACAGCTTTTCTAGATAGCGGTAACACCCACTTCAAAATTAACCTGAAAAATATTATATAAGGTTTACAATTCGCTTATATAAAAATAGATGCTTTTGAAAATAATTTTGCAAGTGAAAATTAAATGAAATGAAAACAACGCCATATATTTATCCCATAGAAATGTTTCATACATTTTACTAAAATAGCCAGAATTAATTTATTCTTCGAATTTTACCATATTACATGTAACCCAAGTAGCACACGACGTTGCAAACTGGTCCGAGAGGTTGCAAAGTGGTCGTGGTAACGTTTACGACGTCTTTACAACGTTGTGAAGGCGCAAAATATTTGCCGTTGCATCTTGGCAATTTGTCGACATCCCTGAAACGTCATGATATGACCGGTTTTAGACGTGGTCGTTTTAGCACTTTTTTTTAGTTCATCAGCATTATTTTTAGAATAAAAAGAGACTAAATCTGCCCTCTTAAGAATCTGAAGTCTGCATAAGATTTACTTTGCAGTGTTCCATTACTTTATTTCATCTAAATATACACTGCTTGACATTGAAAATGCAACACCAAGAAGGGGTGGTCAGAAAGTGATGAAATTTGGAAAAAAGACAGAGCCAGCAAGCAGCAATAAGTGATCTTTATTTCAAAATGACAGGCAGAATACAGAGCGAGAACGGCGTTGGCTCAGTAGGACCGCGGACAGTGATGCAAGAAGAAACACGTCTAGGCCATAGAGTCAATAAGAGTGCGGATGGTGTCCTAAGGGATGGTTCTCTATTCCTTTTCAACCATTTGCCACAGTTCGTCTTCTGAACGAGGCAGGGGCAGAGTCTGCAAACGGCGTGCAATCACATCCCACACATTTTCGATTGGTCACAGGTCAGGAGAGTACGGTGGCCAGGGAAGCTTCTGTATCCCTTGCACAGCATGTTGGCAAATGCGAGCACTGTGTGGTCGAGCGTTATCCTGCTGAAAAATTGCATTAGGCAGCCCCTGAAAGTAGGGGATTGCCACCGGCCGCAGTACATTATCCAAGTATCGTTGGGCCGTCATAGTGCCCTGAATACGAACTAGAGGTGACTTGGAACCGTAGGCAATAGCGCCCCAAATCATTATGCAACGTTGTCGCTCGGTGGGGCGTTCCACAGTTACTGCCGCATTAGATCTGTCTCCACGTCGACGCCACACACGTATGCGGCGACTGTCACTGGATAAACAGAAGCGTAACTCATCTGAGAACACGACGTGTCGCCATTCTGTCATCCACATTGTTCCAGTCTGGCATCATTCTAAACGTTGGCGTCTATGTTGTGGGGTCAATGGCAGTCTTCTTAACGGACGCCGTGAGTGCAGGCCACGTTCAACGACGGGAAATGGTTCTGGTCGACACGGGAACATACAGGGTATTTTGCATATGCTGCAGAATCGCGGTACAAGTGATTTGCGGGACCGCCACAGCTTGTCGACGGATGCGTCGAACCGCGTGTGCTGTCATCACTCTGGCTGCACCTGCAACCTTCCTTCTTCTCCCATTTCCTTGTTCCAACCATGTTCGCCATAGCCGATGCACCGTGCTCGCATCCATGTGGGTATCAGCTGCGATTTGACGTAAGGACCAACCCCCCTTCTCAGTCCGATCACCATACCCCTAGTAAAATCGTCTATCTGCTGGAGGTGCCTTCATTGACGGCGGCCTGGCATTCTCTCCTATTACACGTATCCTCCGGGACAAAAACCAACTTTCTTCGATAATTCGTCTGGCAGAAATAACGACACGAATACTTCCCATTCTGCACGTTCTTTCCCTTATATCTTACTTCACGTGCGTCGGAGAACTGCGCATTTCACATCATTCGCATAACTCAGTGACGTGAGTCTACTCTGAAATTTGCATAAATTTCTGACCACTCCTTCTTGGTGTTGCATTTTCAATGTCGAGCAGTGTATAGGTTTATAAATATTATAGCAAAATATTTTAAAATGAAACTAATCTATAAAGTAAATTATTAAGTTATGCATTTTATATACTAAAAAAATCATATTTCCGAAATCAATGTAAATCACGTGTTAGCAACTATTTCACTACTGAAATATGACTATTTCTTATTTTTGAAGTAAGGACGAATTCACCGCTGTCCAATAGATATGGCGGAAGGAGAAGTAGACCTGTACATTATTGACTGGATGCTTAATATAAACGAACATCTCGAGATTTGCGAGCTTTGGCTAGCTGCCAAATTCGAACAATTGCGCAATTAATTCAGTTTCTAACAGTTCTTTCAAGTCATTGGGTAAAGATGCCATCTGTAAAGCGTTTGAAAAGACTTACTTCATGTTTGAAATTGAATAAAGCAATGGCTGCTTATATTAAAATTAAATAATATTGCTTATATTAAAAGTAAATGTAATGCACTGTCAATCAAAGAACGCATTGTGAATCTTCTCATTGTTTTGTATCTATTTACTTCAACTGCCTTCAGCGAGTGAAATTATCATAAGAATGCTGAATTTGTGCTTATTTTGTGTGTGAATATTTGCTATTGTGAATCTAGTGTTCGTGAAACATTAGATTCACGATAGCAGATAAAGGTTAATGATTTTAAACAGTGATTTTTTTTAGTATATATTTTTTTAGTTCGTCTCTGTGGTCTATAGTGGTCTGTGGAATATAGTGTTCGTGAAATAGCGTCTCTGTGGTTCGTGAAATAATGTCTCTGTGGAAATAGTGTCTGTCTCCAATCGCTGTGGTTCCAGCGGTGCAATATTTGGATAAACTTACTAGCTTTGTGCTTCGGTTATGACATCCTAAGTGCTATATCACATATCATTCCCATTAATCGATTATTGAGTTAATATTGAAAAGTTGGCTTTCAGAATTAATTCATATAAAAACAAAAATAACATACAATGGTAAGCCACTTTCTGGTTTTGCTGAAAATGCAATCAATACAGAAGCAACAACAATTCAAACTGTTATGGTATGTTCATTATTTTCAAAATACAAAGAAATTATTGGACTGGTACCAGTACTTAATATGATTGCTGAAGATGAATTAAATATATGTATAATGTAAGCAATTAATTAGTTATTAAAATTAATAATAATGCACATTCTATAGTATATTGTCTTTTGTACAATATGCAGAAAAGGTTAATGATTTTAAACAGTGTATGAAATACATGATCGAAAAACTAGTGTTAAACATTAGCATTTCTATGAAATATTGTAATCTATGATTATGTGACATTTAATTGTGTAATATTAAAAATACTAAATATTTTTTTATTGATTGCAAATTACAGTTTTATTACTTTTTGTTTGGCATCTGTTCTTCCCAAAACTGTGTAATTCGCGTTTTTTTAAATATTGACGTTATGTATGTTTCTTAGATTATTTCAATAAATGAATGTTGGAAATCAGGTTCTATTTTTTATTAAATTTAAGTATATTCTATTTTTTTCGCTTACTTTTTATGTGCTTGTGATAACAAAGAAATTCATAATAAATAGAAACAAAATGTTTCATCGTGTACTATTTAACGAAGAACTTACTTTAACGTACTTAGCTTACTATCGTATACTATATTATTTCAATTATTTCTGTACAGTAACAAAAAGGAAAGTTATTGATTATAAAAAGTGCATGAAATAATCATCGTAATCTACCACTATTCTAAAATGTAGAAACTAAAATAAGTAAATACATTAACATATGATCGAAAGAAATGGTGTTAAGAATCATCAGCATTAGTAGTAAATACAGCAGTCCATAATTATTGCACTTTTAATTGCTTACTATTTAAAAAAGACAAATATTTTTTTATTAATTGGAAATTTTAGTTCTGTTACCTTCCTTCTGCTATTTATACTTTCAAACACTACTAGTTCATGTTTTTTCTTAAATAGTGTTGTCATGTATGTTGTTTGTTAGGTTATTATTTCATTTTTAGATATGAATATGGGAAGTTATTAGATTTAGATATATTTTTGATCTCATTTATTAACTACTTTATACTGTCTTTCATTAGCATATCTTGGAGACATAAAAGTTAATGGTTATATTTTTTACTGTGAAACGCGAATAAATTTATTTATACTTGTGTTCAGATAAATTACTAATTATGTTACGTTGAGAACCGCTTCCTAATTTATCATGACAGGGCCAATTTTCAATGTCTCTGAGATTTAACAGAAATAAATGTGATAATGCTGTTATCAGAAATGCTCTTTTTTTACCCACATATATATCTTTACTTTTATTGAGTTTATTATTGAGTTTTATTTACTTAAAACCTACTATTAATGTTATATATTAATGTTATTAACCTACTATTATTGTTATATACTATACTTATTTATAATAGCCATTTTCATAATTACTCTCACTAAAGGAAAAAAATGATGAAATCTTAAATAATGGTAACTTAGAATTTAAGTTATTTAAAAAATATAGTTTAAAGTACTGAAAATAATTAAGGCTATTATTAATTATGTATATTTAGTCTAAAGAGAAAAAAAATGTATTATCTTCTGGTTTTCAGGAAATGATAAAATATTTAAACTTTAGAAAAATACAAGGAATACAAAAATTTAAAAAAGAAGAAATATATATATATATATTATTAAGCTTTTTTTTTTCTGCATAAATCAATATGTAACACATAACGACATTTTCACAACTGTTGCAAAAAGGTGGAATTTTGCGAACATTTAGGCGTCTTTAAAACGTCGTGATACAATGGTTTCACAACCAAAATATCACCTGCGAAAGACGCAATAACGACGTCTATGCGACAAAAACCTCATTTACAAAGACGTAATAAAGACGTCTTTGCAACGGTTGCAAAACAGTGGATGTTCGCAGACATCTGGGTGTCTTAAAGACGACATATTGCAATGTTTTTGCAACGACATCCGCGACGAGTTTGCAACATCGTTACGACGTTGCTGTGCTACTTGGGAAACTTCTTAAAAAATTTAATTGCCTTTAGTTTTAGCTGTAACCGAATTAAACATTTGACCAGGTACTTTTAATTACATTTCTTGTCTC